GCATGTGAAAAGTAAAAGAAAAAGGAAAAGAGAAGAAAGAAAAAGAAAGGCTCAATGCAAAATAAAGTTGGGAAGAAGGAAGAATGGTTGTGTTTAGATGATTCACTTAACTCAAGGATTTTGTGATCTAGAAAAACCAATTTTCTTGTTAGCCCAACCACATTATAAGCCATAGAAAAGTCCTTATGATGATACTTGCTTGTGAATGTATTTGATTATGGTTAAATGAAAGGCAAAGTTAATTCATGTGACATTGTGATAGTAGAGTGAAGGAGTGACCTCTTATACGCTTGTGTGTTTGAGTGAAACACTTTATCTGGTGAGGAAAGATTCCATGAGCACATGTTTACATCTATGCTCAGTTGATTGATCATTCATAAGAATATCATTTGTTGAATATTATGTGATTATGTGAACAATAAAGTGTGTGTGCATCTTGACTGAATTCTTTGTGTTGAGCTGATTTGAGTAGTTATTTATCTTGAAAGAAGGAGTTTTGAATGTGGTGAACCATTGTACGGATTGGTGGAAGATTGAGTTACATTTTGTTTGCTTGAGGACAAGAGGAGTTCTAAGTTTGGGGTTGTGATAACAGTTGAAAAACTGTTATTTTTAGACTTAATTTTGATCTTAAAGACAACCTTTATGACTTAGAAACTAGTTTGTAATCATGTTTTTGCTTATGTTTTGGAAATAAGAGAGTTGGATAGGTTTTATGCTTGGTTTTCCTTGTTTTTGCGGGTTTTAAGATGAATTGAATGGAAAAAGTGAAGTAGCCATAAGTTGGAGTCAGAAAAGGAAGAAAAAGTGCATAAAAGAAGATCTCCAAGTACCGCTCAGCGGAAATTACCGCTGAGCGACACTCTGAAGTTTTGCAGTCACCGTTGAGGGGCAAAACTACAACTGAGCATCAAACAGAAGAACCGCACTTACTGTTGAGCGGTAATTACTGCTCAACGCCATTTTAATCGACCTAGGGTTAATATCTTTTGGCAGAACGAAGCAAAATCACACTTTCTTCACCCCTTGGAGGAGGATTTTGGATGCTCAAGCTCCACTCTTCAAATTCTAGGGTTTTATCTTTCATTATTTCATTATTTTTCATCTAGGTTCACCATGATTATGGTGAACTAAACCTTTATTGTTGTTGGGGAATCAATGTAATCATTTGAAACTCTCATGTATTGAATTGGTTCTTTGATTCATATGCTTTCTTTCATTAATTGTTAGGGTTTTTCTTCTATTCTCTATGCATGCTTTGTTTAACTCATTCAATTGCATGATCATTGATTTTATTTGTATGGACACATATAGATAAATCTAGACATGAAGAAATTCTCCCATTAGTAATATTGCCTAGACATAGGGATAGGAGGATTGGTTGCCTTTAAGCTTATGTGCGAATGTAATGCATGAATAATTGCTAGGGAGACAAGACATTGTAAACTAGTGATTAAGAGTAGGCTTTCTTCACCAAGACATTGGGTTTAAGGTAAATTAGAAAGTGGCATTAACATTAATGACGAAGATGAATTCTTGAATACATNAATGTATTTGATTATGGTTAAATGAAAGGCAAAGTTAATTCATGTGACATTGTGATAGTAGAGTGAAGGAGTGACCTCTTATACGCTTGTGTGTTTGAGTGAAACACTTTATCTGGTGAGGAAAGATTCCATGAGCACATGTTTACATCTATGCTCAGTTGATTGATCATTCATAAGAATATCATTTGTTGAATATTATGTGATTATGTGAACAATAAAGTGTGTGTGCATCTTGACTGAATTCTTTGTGTTGAGCTGATTTGAGTAGTTATTTATCTTGAAAGAAGGAGTTTTGAATGTGGTGAACCATTGTACGGATTGGTGGAAGATTGAGTTACATTTTGTTTGCTTGAGGACAAGAGGAGTTCTAAGTTTGGGGTTGTGATAACAGTTGAAAAACTGTTATTTTTAGACTTAATTTTGATCTTAAAGACAACCTTTATGACTTAGAAACTAGTTTGTAATCATGTTTTTGCTTATGTTTTGGAAATAAGAGAGTTGGATAGGTTTTATGCTTGGTTTTCCTTGTTTTTGCGGGTTTTAAGATGAATTGAATGGAAAAAGTGAAGTAGCCATAAGTTGGAGTCAGAAAAGGAAGAAAAAGTGCATAAAAGAAGATCTCCAAGTACCGCTCAGCGGAAATTACCGCTGAGCGACACTCTGAAGTTTTGCAGTCACCGTTGAGGGGCAAAACTACAACTGAGCATCAAACAGAAGAACCGCACTTACTGTTGAGCGGTAATTACTGCTCAACGCCATTTTAATCGACCTAGGGTTAATATCTTTTGGCAGAACGAAGCAAAATCACACTTTCTTCACCCCTTGGAGGAGGATTTTGGATGCTCAAGCTCCACTCTTCAAATTCTAGGGTTTTATCTTTCATTATTTCATTATTTTTCATCTAGGTTCACCATGATTATGGTGAACTAAACCTTTATTGTTGTTGGGGAATCAATGTAATCATTTGAAACTCTCATGTATTGAATTGGTTCTTTGATTCATATGCTTTCTTTCATTAATTGTTAGGGTTTTTCTTCTATTCTCTATGCATGCTTTGTTTAACTCATTCAATTGCATGATCATTGATTTTATTTGTATGGACACATATAGATAAATCTAGACATGAAGAAATTCTCCCATTAGTAATATTGCCTAGACATAGGGATAGGAGGATTGGTTGCCTTTAAGCTTATGTGCGAATGTAATGCATGAATAATTGCTAGGGAGACAAGACATTGTAAACTAGTGATTAAGAGTAGGCTTTCTTCACCAAGACATTGGGTTTAAGGTAAATTAGAAAGTGGCATTAACATTAATGACGAAGATGAATTCTTGAATACATAAGAGTGGATAGGATGAATTGAAAACCCCCAACAACATTATCATTCCATATATCTCAATCACGTTTTTCTTCTTTTGTTCAATTGATCAATACATGCATTCATATTTACTTTTTAGTATTTGCATTTAAATCTACAAAACTTCGTTCACAAGTCTAATTTAATCAACAAATCACATAATTGTTTAGGCCGTGAGTCCTTTGGGAAAAAATACTTGGTCTTACCATTTATTATTACTTGATACGATTCAGTTACACTTGTTGAGGGTTAACACTTACCATAATCGATTATTATGCGTACAATTTCAACAAAAAAGTCGTTACAACGTCTTACAATGGCTATAAAAGACCATAAACAGCTAGTTTTTCAATTCTTCCTATAAATAACCCCTTATAATCGATTACTAGCCGCTTCTTTGCACCCAAAACTCTGCTGAACTAAGATCTGCACCAGATTTCCTCTTTTCTTCCCATCACTCTTCACACATCCCATTGTTCTCATCCTGCCATGGCTCATTCAAGAAGACCTCGTAGGAGGACTGTTGGTGCTTCTTCATCTCGTTCAAGAGATGTTCGTCCTGCATCCATTGAAGGTTGGATTTCCGATCAAGAAAAGCATGCAGATTTCGCCAACTTTTGGCAGGAACGTAGGCTCATGGAAGTTAAATTCATCAGGTTGGATTTTTTCCGATTCTATGGATTCCAATTCCCTGATTTATTTGGAGCTCAAGGTCTCACACATCTAGTAGAACAAAAGGGGTGTATATATCCTGATCTCATCAGAGTGTTCCACTTCAATTTAAAATACCATGATGGCATCGTCACAACCAAGGTGAAGGGGTCCCAATTATTTTGGATGACGACATATGGACTAACGTGGCACAACTCACCATTTGGGATGATGTTGTCAAAGTTCACCTTAGGGTCCCGGACTTCAATCGCTTGCTAGCCTTCCAATCATTTCTGCGACATCCTCAACAGCAAACACATAACCGTCAACTGCTGGTGGGTGGCTTCAAGGTAGAAGAATGCTTAATTCATTATCTGATAGTGTGGCTTTTGTGCCCCCGTGCTACAAATCATGCTCAATGTTCTGAGCAGGATCTTCTTCTTCTTTAAGGGATTTTAAATAATATCCATACCGATTGGCCTGCACTCATCTCTGATACTATCTAAAGGTCAAAAAGTATCATGCCTATCATCTTCCCTACGCTCTTCTCATCTCTAGGATTATTGAATAGAAAGGAGTTTGTATAGAAGGAGAGCTCACCCAAGCCATCCAAGCAATTGACACTGAAATTGGGGAGACGACGTTTCGTCAAATGGGTTTTGTCGCCCGTGGACGCATGATCATTCACAAGGATGATGATCATCAGAATGATGAAGATGATGATATGGATGCCCATATGGCAAAACCAGTAGGAGATGCTACTCCATCAGAAGATAGACCTTCTACCATGCCTTCATCCTCCTCTCTCTCAATGGAAGAGTACTTTGCAAATTTGTCCAAGCAATTGGAGGACATGAGTTTAGCTCATCAAGCAAGTTTTGATGAACTCATTGAAATGCAGCAAACTCATGAGGAATATGTGATTGAGAAGTTTGATGATTTAGACACTTGTCTTGGCAACATTGAAAATTGCCTCAATCCTCATCCTTCGGAAAGACCACCTACTCCAGATTTCTAGATTAGGCTGCTTGGTTGCTTGTTTTCAATTAGTGTACTACTTTGGTTGTATTTTCTCAGCTGCAATGACATTTTCCCAAAATAAATAGAATCTTTTCATATTCTCATTTAGTGCATACATTTTTTTAAGGGGGAGAACATTTTGACGAGGAGCATACTTACTTTTTGCTTATGATCAAAAAGGGGGAGAAATTCTTCTAGTGCAGTTACTACTAACCTGTTTTACAGCAACTCCAAATCACTGAAACGCATCGTTTCATTTATTCTCTCACAAACCACCATACGAGCTGCCACGAACTCAAAAGACAAATATATCCTTTATGACATTGTAAATTATTTTATTTTTCCCACACCTCATGTGGAATTTTTGCATGTGGGTACAACATAGGCACTATTGACATAAACGTGAACGATGATACATGTCCACTAACGTAGACAACTTAATTCCAACCTACCGTCTCCTAAACTTTCTCAAAATCTCATCAAATATATCAAACCAACTATATTCTCCATAAATATAAACCCAACCCAAGAACATTCCTCATTGAAGCCCCGCCACCATGCAAATGGAGACCCTCTCTCTCTTCCTCACTCTAACAGCAACTCTCTCAGCCTATTTCCTCTGGTTTCTCCTCCTCGCCCGAACCCTAACCGGTCCAACACCCTTCCCCTTCCTCGGCAGCCTCCCCCAGCTTTTCCACAACCGCCACCGTGTCCACGACTGGATCGCCGCCAACCTACGCGCTGCTGGCTCCTCCGCCACCTACCAAACGTGTATCATCCCCTTCCCCTTCTTGGCACGTAGCCAAGGGTTCTACACCGTGACGTGCCACCCCAAGAACCTCGAGCACGTCCTCCGCACGCGCTTCGACAACTACCCCAAGGGCCCCAGGTGGCACGCCGCCTTCCACGACCTCCTCGGCCACGGCATCTTCAACAGCGACGGCGACACCTGGCTCATGCAGCGTAAAACCGCGGCTCTCGAGTTCACCACACGCACTCTGAAACATGCCATGTCTCGGTGGGTTAACCGCTCCATCAAGAATCGGCTGTGGTGCATCATGGACAAAGCTGAGAAAGATAGCGTCTCCGTGGACCTACAAGACCTTCTTCTGCGCTTGACCTTTGATAATATCTGCGGACTTACCTTCGGTAAAGACCCCGAAACTCTTTCCCCCGACCTTCCCGAAAACCCCTTCGCCGTTGCTTTTGACACCGCCACTGAAGCCACCATGCACAGGTTCGTATAGTTGTACACTTTTTCAAATTTCGATATACAAGCAATTACAATATTTCCAATTCAATTTTCAAGACAATAATTTTGTTGTTATAGGTTACAATACTCATAATGTTAAATCTACGTTTTGTTATGTTACAGATTCCTCTACCCGGGTATAGTGTGGAGGTTCCAGAAGCTTCTGTGCATTGGATCCGAAAAGAGGTTAAAGGAGAGCCTCCGAGTGGTGGAAACCTACATGAACGACGCCGTTGCGGATCGCAGGGAAACTCCTTCCGACGACTTGCTCTCGCGTTTCATGAAGAAGCGTGACGCAGCCGGCAAACCCTTCTCTTCCGCTGCGCTTCAACGCATCGTCCTTAACTTCGTCCTCGCGGGCAGGGACACCTCATCGGTGGCCCTCACCTGGTTCTTCTGGCTCCTCATGAAACACCCTCACGTGGAGGAAAAGCTCATGCAAGAGATCACAACGGTTCTCTCCGACACACGTGGTGGAGACCGCCGCCGGTGGACAGAGGACCCCCTTGACTTTGGTGAGGCGGATCGGCTGGTGTACCTGAAGGCCGCACTGGCGGAGACACTGCGTCTGTACCCGTCAGTGCCGCAGGACTTCAAGCAGGCCGTCGACGATGACGTTCTGCCGGACGGGACAGTGGTTCCGGCGGGGTCGACGGTGACGTACTCTATATACTCTGCTGGGAGGCTGGAGACGATTTGGGGCGAGGATTGCATGGACTTTAAACCAGAGAGGTGGCTTTCGGTTCGCGGGGATCGGTTTGAACCGCCAAAGGATGGGTTCAAGTTCGTGGCTTTCAACGCTGGACCGAGAACTTGTTTGGGCAAGGACTTAGCATACCTGCAGATGAAATCAGTGGCCGCCGCTGTGCTCTTGCGTTACCGGCTATCGCTAGTTCCCGGTCACCGGGTGGAGCAGAAGATGTCACTCACTCTTTTCATGAAGAATGGGCTCAAGGTGTTCTTGCATCCACGTAAGCTCCAAGGTGGGCCAGGTGTTGCCACGTCGTCATAAAAACGAGGTTGTCTTCGTCATTGTGCTGCATGTATCCACCGAGGTGGTGACATTGAATGTCTATATGTATTTATGTTTTTTGTACTTGGAATTTGGGTTGTGTATTTATACGTTGTGTACTAATAGTAAGAAAAAAGTACTGTTTACTGTTTGTGGGTCATTTATATTTCTTTGTTGAGAAAATAATAATGTTCCAAAACTTACTTTCATTGTCCGAATATATAGTAAAATTGTAGGAATACAAGTCTTAAATGTGAGTTTATGATTGGAAAATAATTTAGATAGAAATTTTAATTACATTTAACTAGAAAACAATTCTGACTAATATATTTGACCATATCTATAAAGTATTTATAGAGGTAGACAATTGTTTGTGATAGATGTTAAGTTTTGAAAGTAAGATTAAGTGTGAGAAGTAAGGACATGATGGTTAAAATGTTAATAATTTGTTAATGAGGTGATATTTTTGTCCCAAAGAAAAACTTATAATATATTGCTTACGAAAATTATTTTGAACTTGTAGTAGAACTTAAGGTGAATTTTTTAAAAATTAAGATGAGGGCTTAGAAGTAGAGAACATAATTCACATTTTTAACAATTCTAAATATGTGAAAATGAAAGTTCGAAATTTAAAATTTGATTAATAAGCATAGAACATGAAAATGTGTGAAAAGTTGAATGATAAGTTACAATTAAATCGTGACGATGTTTGATGTGTTATCCATTTATTTATGTATGTAGAAAAAATTTTACTCTTGTTATAGAGCTGTCAAAACGGGTAATCCAGTCCAATCTGACCCACCACGGGTTGGTGGGTTAAACAGGTTGACTCATTGGCTCACTTAATTAACTTTTTTTTCACCCTCTTCTTCTCAGATTCTTAACATGTAACTTTGATCGATCAAATTGAAACAGTAATAATTGGACCAATTGATATAAAAGAAAATGAAACAAAAGAAATATATTGTTATATATATTATAAGCTATCATTGCCAATTTAGTTTAATGAGACATACATAACCGTTTCACCAAGAAACTACATATAGCCGTTAATAAAAATATATAACACAAGATAAAATTGTCATGCTTGTAGATAGGTCTAAAAACAAGATCAAACAAATGATATATTTCTGAATTATCCAATCTATAATATTATCCATCTATTAAATTGGAGTCATGAATGGATAAATTCAAAGTAATATGCTCTCTTGAAGCATATTCTTCTTTATCTCCAACTATAATATTATAAAATCTATAATCTTAGGGTTTTATTTGCATAGGGGAACTTTTGGAAAGACAACCGCGCGAAAGGCTCTATTGCTAAGTAAAGGTTGTGCATTTTTAATAATTAATTTAATTAATTTGATTTCAATAAAAAAATAGGATTTGAATAATTAATTTAATTAAAAAAATAGGTGGGTTGGTGAGCCAACCCAACCCACCATGAGTTCAACCCGTGTGAGCCAGATTCTTAGTGAGTCAAAATTGGCTCGCATAAAAAATTTTACATTTTTTTCCAACCTAACCCAGCTCAAACCCGTGGTGAGTCGGATTGGCTCACGGATTTCAACCCATTTTGACGGTACTGCTTATTATTAACTATTACATATTATTTATTAGTCACGAGACATAAAATTTCTTTTATTACTTTATACTACAGCTATATTTTCATATCTACGTATGAGTATATTATCATTTGTATAATTTACATGTTCTAATAGACATAAAATAAGAAAATGTGTAAAAATGTCCATAAAGGATATCTCTTATAGAGTAATGTACAAGATTATAAAATCTGAAACTATACCATATGTTTAGTTAATGCATGAGATATAAAATAAAATATACCACAACATACAATAGGATGATAAAAAAATTTGTGTTCATAGATATTCGTGAATAAAATTCATACGGTAGTTGATATTCATGGGTTGCGGATATTTTAATATCCACTTATAAGCGGGTCGGATACAAGTATTATATTACTTGACCCACAACTCGTTATCTAAAAAAAATAAAAATAAAAATTTAATTTATATTTTATTTAATTAAATTTGATTTAAAATATAATTAATTTATATCTATTAGATTAAATTTAATTAAAATTAAATTTTAGTTTATATTTTATTTTATTTATATTAAATTTTATATATTTTTCTGTAATTTATCTAAATTTTATTTCAATAATATATAAAATATATATTTTTTAAAATTTGCGGACATCTACATATACAGTGTGAGTTTTAAAATATCTGCAGATTTTTTTGAAACAAATATGCGCAAGAGAAGCAAACGAGTGCGAGTAGAATTTTCATTTTACAAATCAAATTACGAGTACACACTATTCGTATCCAACCCTATGTGTTGTCATACAACTAACTATGAGCTAAAAGAACTTATTTCTTATCATATGAGAAGAATGTATTGAATTGTAATAGAAATATTTCGTTACATACTTAGTTAGTATATTTTAGGAAAATGTATCAAGTTTTAAACACAAAGCTGTTTTTGCATCAATATTATTAAAAAAATCTGTCAAAATATTTTTTCTAATTTTATATTAAAAAAATTCATAATCAAAAAAGCTTAAAATTTTTTCAATGCTCTTCCAGTCTGCATTATTTTATATCTAAATCAAGCACCTATCAAATATGGTTATATATTTCCTACCAAATCTTATACGTAAAAGAAAAGAAAGAAAAAAACTTAAGCAACAAGGAGAATCAATCAATGCAACATACAGAAAAAGGAGATTATGCAAAGAGAAAACAGTAAATCCCATGCAGACGTTATCGCAATTAAGAAGTTCAAATGTTACCAAAAAAAATTAAGTTGTCATTGCTGTGAGCTTATTTCAAAATACGACCTGATCATGAAGCTGTAACTAAGAATGAAAAACCTTTTGAACTATGAAGAAAGAAAGTCTACCAGATCTCCTCTCCTTTTACTTGTGAGGCACCTTGATGCCGAAAATCCATGTTGAGATTCTGATTTCCATACCCAGATGCTACGTTGAACAAGGGAGAGACATAAAAATCCGAAGGAAGGTAAGTAGCTGGGGGATGGGTCTCTCTGGGGAAGAAACTATCATTGAAGTGCATATTATCTGGGTATTGCAGAGAATACACAACCTCACTCTCATCAACATCATCAACATTCATCATGTTCCAGTGATCCAAATATGAGGTTGGAGACATCATCTTAGACTGCTTAGAGGCTTCGACATTCTCCGTGAAAATTTGTTGCATGAAGAGTGGTTCGTTAGGAAAAGGTTGATAGAAGAGATGGTTGAAAGGGTTGTGTGCATTGTTGTCCTGTGAGGGTGTTGGGGCAGTAAGAGGTGTAGAGTTTGTGGTGATGATGGTCTTGCTTCTGATGTAGTCTTCGAGTATGGAGGAATGAGGTTTTCCATTAGAGGTCTTTGTTTTCTTGTGCTTTCTCTTTGAATTCTGTCTCCTTTTCGTCGCATTCCAGTGGTTCTTTATGGCATTCTCTGATCTTCCTGGAAGGCATTTCGCCATCTCGCACCAACGATTTCCAAGCCTCGTATGCATGTCTACCAGTATTCTTTCTTCTTCTTCGCTCCAGCTATCTTTCTGATCATTTTTTTTTCCAAAAAATATAACTATTTTTTTCAAACATAATCTATTGTTTATAAGTATATAATAATATTAAATTATATAGTTTACAAGTAAATAATTTACAAACTAACTATATATAAACATATAGATAATAATATTATAACTTATGGCTATATAAAGTGAATTTTAAATTAAAATTCTTATATAATTTATAATTTATTATAAATTTAAATAATTATGATCTATAAATTCTAAAAAATTTATCTGCTAAAACTTATATAATGTTCTAAATAGATTATATATTATATTGCAAACTTGTGTGACATTAAAATAATACAATTTTGAAATTCAAATTAAAAGGTAAAAAAAATTAGTAATCTCCCTACAGTTTATCCCTTTTATAAATAGGTACTTTAATCTTGATTTATTTTGATTGATATTCAAAATCCATCACATTTACTAATAGATAGCTTGAACTTCAATTTTGTTTCAATTGATCCTTGAAATCAATTGTTTTCTTTTAAATAAATACCTAAACTTTTAATTTGATTATAACTAATCTTTAAAACTTATCCAACTTTTACAAATAGTGTTCTTTTTTATTTTTTTAATAAGTATAAGCAAAATATTTACATCAAATACCATTAATTTTTTATTTTTCTTCTTTGGCTTGCTATACTTCATTTTTTATAAATTTAAATATAAAATAAAAATTTATAAATAAAGAAAAAAATATTTAAAGATCTATTTTAATTTTACACCAATTTTTAAATTTATTATCATTTTTAATTGATTTTGTAAAAATATTTTATTTTGATTTTATTTGATTATATTTACAATGTTATCTTGAAAAGATTAATTTTACAAGTTTGAATCATAAGATTTAGAATCTATACATCCTAAATTAATAGAAGTATCAACAGCATTCAAATTCAAAATTGTGAATATATTAATAGAAGTATCAACAGTATTCAAATTCAAAATTGTGAATATATTAATAGAAGTATCAACAGTATTCAAATTCAAAATTTTAAATAAATTAATAGAAGCATCAACCGTATTCAAACAAATAAATGTATTAATAACACAATTGTTTATACTATTTCTCATTTTAAATAATCTTTTCCAGAAAATTGTTTATAAGACATGATAAATTAAGGTTTAATTAAAATAAAATTCCAAAATTTGTTGTTTATTTTACAATTACATAATCAATTAAAAATGTCACAAGTCTGAAGGATTATGTGATGTATATAATTTAACTTAAAGTTACAAAAAAAGAAGAAGCTATTTATAGAAGTTTGATAACTTCTTCTAAGGATTAATTAGAACAAAATTAAAATTTTAGATGTTCCCTAGAAATGATAAAATCTAAGAAATAATTTGAATACAATTCAAATTCAAAGATTCTTATTTATAAATGAGACGAAGTTTGAAAATCAATTGAAAAAAAATTAAAATTTTTTAAGATACTTATTTGTAAAAGAGATCAATTTTAGTATATGATAAAAATATTCTCTACAAATTAACATGAAAAACCATTATAAGAAAAAAAAATGAATCTCTTTTGTATGATTATATTGATGCACCAAATCTGATGTGAATAGTGCACATCTTGATAGATGGAGGTATTAAGATTTGTTCACATCTTGAAAGATGTTTTGTGAGTAGTGATATATACATAAACACATTCTTAATAAAAGTCTATTAAGAACATTATTTTTTATCTTTGTTTTCTTATATTATATATCTTCTATAACATATTTTCTTTCTTTTCTTTTATCTAAATGTAGATCAACATTTTGGTTGTGTATTAGACAATATCTTAAAAACTGATTCCCACTGAGGAGAATATCATCTCCTGACAACATTTTAAAATTCCAAAAGAAACATTGACCATCCTTATTTGAAGGATATAACTCATTCAAGAGAATTAGAGTTAGAAATAAAAAATGTCAAAATATCAGCGTTTTAATCTTGTTATTAATCTCTCAAAGATACTAGTTTAAATCTAAAATTATAATAAAGCTAACAAATTATAATATCATAACTATAAAAGAAACATAATATCAATATTTAGTTAAAATGATACTGTCCTTGAACTAGTTTTGAACCTATTCTCATTTTACAATTGAATCCACTTTTGAAGTTTCAAAAACATAACCAAAAAAATCCTAAACCATACTTCTCAAGATGAAGAGAATGAGTGTAGATACTGATAAATAGCAGTGTTAAGATTCATTCACCCAAGAAAACAGCATAAACTAAGAGTCAAGTACAGAAAAAAAGAAAAAAAAACATAAAAAACTATATTCAAATTCAGATTCACCAACCTTATTGTGTTAGGGTGAACAAGATTTATTCTAATTCAACTAATCTTAGGATGTAATGTAACTGTTAAGTGTTGAAGTAACAAACCTTAATATCAGGACGCAAATGATTGTTCCATCTTTCTCGACATTGTTTGCCAACTCTTCCCTCCAACTTCTCAGCTATTTCAGACCACTTTTTATCACCATGTTGTTTCACCAACCTTATCAGTTTCCTGCAGTTATACCAAATAAGCTTCAATGCTCAGCACAAATTTATATTCACAACAATTTATCAGACTAAAAAACATTTGAAAAACACAGCCTTGTCTTAATTTTTTCAACCTGTCCTCTTCCTTATTCCACTGTCCTTTGATCCAAGACACAGAAGATTGTTTCTTCCTTCTCCTTCCCACCACTTTTGTGTTCTTACATTGCATATCATCCAGACACAGTGTAAGGTTTTGGTTGATGTTTGTCCACTTAAAAGCCTCCTCCGAAAAACCACATGCATCATTGTTCTTTGTCTGTTGTTGTTGTTGATGATGAAGGAAGTGGCCACATAGGAATTGATCTGTGTCTGTGGATGTCAAAGCATGGTTCATAACATCACAACCATAAATTTGAAAGCCATTTTCACCATGACTTTCTCCTCTTAATACAATATCCATGAACAGGAGAATAAATCAAAAGGGAAAGTATTGTTTATTGTGGGCAGGTATAGGGTTTTCTGTTAGGTGAAATTAGGGTTGACAAATGCTGAAGCTTAAGCCAAACACTGTAATAAGCAAGTGGATTATAATAGCCATTAATTGTGTGCCTTTATGCAAAGGTCAGGATTGAATTTTTATAGTGTAACTCCTAAAATTCATTATGGACTAATTAAAAGTGTGGGCAGAGGGATTAGTGGGTGCTGTTAGTCCATGATGTTTATTTTTAATTTATTAGATTTAACTCATATTTAATTGTTACTTAATACAATTTTAATATACTAGTTAATTGCATTTACATAATTTTCAGTTAATTTTCAATTATGGGTCATTTATTGTATAAATATTTAAATTTCTTTTCTGGTTTTAAAATCTTTTAATGTGGCATATTATGGATTCTGGATAAATACAAGTATTTAGGAAGAAATAAATTAGGAAAAGTCTGCTTTTTTTCTTCTTCTTTCTTTCTCGATCACAATTCTCTTATGGTAGTTCTAAGGTCACTGAAAAGGGTTATATTATTAAAAATCATATAAAAAATATAAAGAGTCTATTTTTATGCATCCAATAATATTTTTTTTTATCACTTCAAACAAAGTCTTTAAAACCCAATTATATTTATTTTACACTTTCCTTATATTTTTCTTAGGGTGGGTATCGAATGGAATTTATTTGTAAACATTACTCAGATTATTGTTATCATAATTTCATTTTCTATCCAAATAAAAATATTATAATTAATTCAAAAAAGCAAAACCCCTTTAGTTGCCCTTTTTATGTAGGTTTTTTTTGCAGTTTGATTCCTGTTTTCTTAAAATCCCAATTGAGTCCTAAACATTGCTAATTTAAATCAATTGAGTCCCTACCGTTAATTTAGTTTAACGAGGTTAAACTTTTTAGTTGGAAAATGCGGACCCATCCATAACCCGGAGCCTCCTCTACACTAACACGACGCTCTTCCTCACCATCCCCAACATGGTCTCTCAAATCGCCCAAAACTGCTCTGTAGCAGAGTCCTGGCTCTACACCCACGTAGTACCATTCTATCCACGTGTCAAAATCACCACCATCTCCGTAGGCAACGCATTCCCCACGTGCACCCAGATAGAGTTTCCATAACATCATATGGGAAAAGTATAAGCTCCCCTTCGACTATACTTGAACTTCCCCACTTCTTTCCAAGGTGTTTTAATATTGAAGATGTTTCCTTTTGACCTAAAAAGAAAATAAGGATTACGCCCATCAAAAGAAAAATAATCTAAACATCAAGACCTGCTGCATATAGACTAGGACGAGTTCCTTCATTAATTAGGAAAAGTTGTAACTTTATTTTTTAGGAAGTAAGCATTTCTCCAGGATGAAATTCGATAGCCCCTCTATTTTCTATGATAAAGGTATTTTTGTTCAGAAGTTCTGAGCATGTACTCAAAGGTTCCTTAAACACAAAATGTCGATTCTCTTTATCATTCAATAACTCACTACATCCTAAACAATAAAATATTTAACTGTTAAACAAAATGAACAAGATAGTGGCAACTGAACATTTCTATGAAATTGAATGGTGTCCCCACGTCCAAGAAAAGAAAATGTTCATTTCTTCTAGCACAACCTTGTCAAAATCACCACCATCTCAGAGCTCTACTCCGCCTTATCATCCCCGTTCCAGCCCTTAAACGCATAGTTTCAAGAACCCCCGAGGATCACACTCTTCGATATGCTCCTCCAATTCTTGCAGGATACATATTCCTAGAAATTGAATTGTGTCCCCACGTCCAAGAAAAGAAAATGTTCATTTCTTCTAGCACAACCTTGTCAAAATCACCACCATCTCAAAGCTCTACTCCGCCTTATCATCCCCGTTCCAGCCCTCAAACGCATAGTTTCAAGAACCCTCGGGGATCACACTCTTCAGTATGCTCCTCCAATTCTTGCAGGATACATATTCCTGCTTCTTGATCAACCTCTACCCTTACAACCTCTATCGTTTGAACCCTGAGATCCCCCTCAGCATTGCGCTCTTCCAAGAATACCCTTTCAACTTCCGCGACAACTTCACCATTGCGTCCTCTACCGCAACCTCTTCAATGTCATGGTCGACGCCGTTGTTACCGCCCTCGCTGTTGCCAGCTACAAGACCATCCCACTCGTCGTGATCGAAACTGGCTGGCCTAGCTTTAGCGTCGTCGGGAACGAGTTCGACGCTAATCTCGGCTACGCCTGGATTTACCTGAAGGGCTTGGTGCAACACCTGAAGTCTCGGATGGGAACGCCGTAGCTGAAGGACGGTGTGCATAAGGTTTTCGTGTACGAGATGTTCGACAAGGAAGAAGGAACAAGAAGGAGTGTGAATTTCAATTTCAATTTGAATGAACCCTAAATCCCATTTCATTTCAGAATCCCTAATTCCCTAATATTAAATTATAACATTTTACCAAATTCCACTAATAAAGGTATCAGCATGCCACGTTTCAACGCTCACCATGCCAAGTTTAAAAAAATTGACATGTCAACCTCACACCTCATCAAAAACTTAACCTCGTTAAGCCAAATTAACGGCAGGGGCTCAATTGATTCAAATCAACACTATTTAGGACTCAACTGGGGATTTTAAAAAAACGGAGATTAAACTGAAAAAAACCTACATAAATAAGGACAATTAAAGGGGTTTAACCTTTAAAAAAAACATATACCACTTTCATTGTGCAATTGTTGGTAAAAATTCCAAAATAGATTGGGACCCAAAGCCATTCGATCTTTAGACGCTTGAGATGCTTCTAACAGAGAGTTTAAGGAATACGTTAAGATGATTTGGGAGAAGTATGAGACCAAAGGAAGTAGTATGTTCACCATAAAAAGAAAAGCTAAAAAAATCTGAAACAAGATCTGCAAACTTGAAATAAAGACGTGTTTGGGGATTTAAATATTAAGAGAAACAATAGGTTAAATGTATTTTTAGTTATGAACTTATATATAAAATTAAAATATCTTTTTCTCTTAAATTTTTATATATTTTAGTCTTTAAATTTAAAAAATAAAAAAGAAATATAACCCTTTTAGTATAATGTGTTAATTTCTTTTGCGACATTAAATTAAAATTAACTATAATCCTTATTTTTTAAAAATTAAAAACATATTTAACTTCAAAAAAAATATTATCTTTCAAATAAGTAATCTAGATAAAAAGGACAAAGATGAAAGTAAGATAAAGAGACAACAAATTGTTTGCATATTTTAGGAAAACAAACTTTAGTTTAAAAGTAAGAATAAAAAAATCTATCAAATTGTTTAGAAGTAAGGGATTTGAATAATAAAATTTTTCCTACATGACAATTACACTAACAACAATGCCTCTAATATATCAAAATATAGTAATAAACCATGTAATACTAGTCACAGAAATAATAAAAGAGAACACTTAAAGACTGGAAGATAAAGTATAAAATTTACAGTTATCCAAAATAACCGTAGAATTTAAAACTTTATATACATAAGAGTATACCAAAACAATATGCTAAAAATAAATAACCTAACTAACTAAACAACAACATCCTCGCCCTCCATAGTCTATTCCAAAGACACCTCATCTCCCTCTTCTCATATCCATAGGATGATCATTGCATAGAAAGAACACCAAACATACAAGATACAAACACAAGCAGAAGGGTAAGCTAGATGTAAAAGAAAACATACAAATTAATAGCACATAACATACACAAGATAAATCAAGCAAAGTAACTAAATCAAACATCCTAGCATGTTATATTCTAGACTTGACTTGTCCGGACTTAGAATGATTGTTGAGCTTTGCACTCGTGGTGGCCTTTACTGCTTTGCAAAGCCATTGCCAATGGGTTTCACCTTACCACACTCACGAGGTTAGTCTATACCACACCTTTAAGCTTACTAGAAGCCTCCAAGACTAAGACCTCCTACTACTCCTCACGACATGGTTCAATCCTCTCTACTTGAGAATGAAAGACCATTGGAGTTTCAGGATAACCCCCAATACTGAGCTCATGCGTTCATTCTAAACAACCTGAAATCTCACCAAGAGATTCTACACTAAAGTTTACATTCACCACTTTGAATCACATACTTTTACTTGTAAATTTACTCATAATAATACTTAATTATATATTATCATACACCCTTAAACATACTTCACAATGCATACAACACTTAACTTAATTCAACTTAAGACAAAGAAATAAAAAGGATACTAACTCAGCCTGTTGCTCCGCGCACCCTATTCGCAAGGCGAAACCAGGAGTTGCTCGCACAACGACTTATCTCGCTATGCGAATTAACTCGCAGAGGTACCAAACCTCAACCCCTCGCATATCGCCCAAGTTCGCTATGCGAGAGCCCCAAGCAGTGGCTCAAACTCCCCAAACCATTCGCACAACCCACCAATTCACTGTGTGAATACCCTGGCACAGAGCATCTTGCCAGGGTGACTCGTTGTGCGAATCCATTCCCTTAGCGAGTCTGCATAATCTGTAGAATGAAAATCTGCAGAATTATGCAACCCAAACCCCAAATACCAATTCTATCTATTTTCCCAACTTCTAACACTCCTAAATTGTATTATATACCTAATTAGACTTGGCTAAACGTTCCTAAACCTTTCTAAAAATCATCAAATTCATCAACTTAGAGACACAATCTATCACTTTGAACCTGTTTTTGACCATTTTGATGACTCAAACAAGTCACATTTGACGTACCTAAACTGTCCCAACAGACCAATTTAGTCCTTAACTCCTAGTTCTCATTTTCACTACCTCACATCCTCCAAGTTGACTTAACAAACATAAACTACTCTAAACCACAACAAGATGACTCAATTCACAACCAATTCATATTATCACAAATTTCTAACTTCTAACACAGCCAATCACACATTATACATCATTCAATCAAGTTAAATTCACAGTTCAACGATTGACACACCATAACAT